TATCTAAAATGTTTCCTCTTTTGCCTTTTATTTCAAATATGCCAGAATAAAATATTCTGTTTCAGACTGAGCAAAATATTTTGCATGAACCCCAAGTGACTGGGTTTTCTTTTCAGCAAAAAGGAAAGAGACTTATGCAAACCAGCATGGAAAAAAATGACCCAAAATGAAATATTTATATTTCAATCCAGCTTTCAGATAAAAGCATACATTTCTTGAATGGCTCTAATACATGGGTCTGGTTTGAAGAGCTGCTGAATATCTCCTCTCTAATTGACTTTAACCCAGGTGGCTCGGAAAAAGCTGAAACACTGTAGCTCTGAGAGTCACCTCTGGAACGTTAAAAAGCTGGAGGTGCAAATGTCAGCAAGTTTAAGTAAACAAAGAGTTATGCTAATTTATAATAGAAGAAGCTCAGCATAGTGCTTGTTGCCAGGCTCAAGAAAGAATTCCAAGGTTTTGTTACTTCTTTTAATTTATATATTAAGTGAAGAAGGTTAATAATTCCCAAGTGAACTCACGGCTGGTATCACAGAGTCAAAGTAAAAAAGAAAAAGGCAGTGTGGCTTTTGTGTTTCTAAAATAATTACTCAATATTCATTCCACAGGCATCTGAGACAGGTGCATGGCACAGAAAAAATGTGCTGTAGCTATAACAGAGGAATTTGAATGTTAAAACAAATATATCTGTAAGATAAATTATGCCTTCAGCTACACCAAAGTCAAAGTTTAATCCTATTGCTTTTATTCTATAATTGCACAGAAATGGAAAATAAATTATTGTGAGTGTGTCAGTGAAGTTTATTGCATATTGTTATGCCCGCTTAGGGGGACAAAAGTATCTACCCAAGCATAATCTACTGGACACACTAAATTTGCAGCAATGTATAGATGGCACTGAAGAATATGTTAAAAATTAGTAACTAATAGTGGATAAAATAATATAATGGGAAAATTAATAATACTGACACAGGGTGAGATTGCAAAGATGATAAGGGAGCAGGCATAACTGCTGGGCATGATTTTAAAATTTAGGCTGTATGAAGTAGATCTTTTGGATTTTATGCAGACTTATATACTTTACTGATAGGATATGCATGTCTCTCCATATGATACTTTGATTACCCATTGTATACAAAGGAAGAGTTATCTACTTACATTTAAATACGAAGAAGGGACTGAAGAGAGTATAATGCTTAGGATCTAGTCCTGAAAGTACTAATCTGTTTGTCTAGTGAAAACTTGCTCATCTGTGGAGAGCACTGATACTGCTGAGAGAGATTTTGGGATTCAAGAACACAAGAGAATTGATGCTAATGAAGATGACAGTTTGAATGCCTGGCTGCTGCATAAAAGCAAAGCACAACTGCTTAAATGTCCCAGGTTAAAGCCTTGTCTTATAAACTGTGTTGGACAAATATGAGACAGGCTCTGCATGTGATGTGATTTTAGCATCTCCAGAAAAAAATGTCTGAATAATTGACTCTAAAAGATCAGAAGAGAACTACTTTAAAGCACTCATGACTTTGTGGATGACTTTGAAATGCAATCTGTTAGGACGTAAAGTTGCATAAATACTTCTAATCAAATAGAGCTTGTGTATCTGCTCCTTGATTTTTCTTAATTAACAAAGGAAAATTGAATGAGGATTTTAATAAACCCCAGACTGTCTCAGCTCTTTCCTTTATCCTAAAAAGGCAACCAAGATAGATGGAGAAAGTGAAGATACCCTTAGTTCCTTTGCTTTCCAATAATATCTCCCTCATTGTACCTTATTTGGTTCCAAATGTTTGAATATGGATATTTTTCTTGGTGTCCCTGTGTTATAGTTTTGATTCTTTCTGCCCTGCTACTTCTCTTATTATTATTCTTTCTATTTTTTCCCTTCCTCTTACCTTTTCCATTCTAAAGATATTTGTTGGCAATCCTGAACACATGAACTATTTGGTTGCTAGCTGCAATTTTCATAGTGGTACCAGTTAATTTTTTTCAGAATCTCTCTGTGGCAGCATAACATTACAGATGAGAAGTATTACCTGAGGCATCACTAGTTCTCAGACTCACTTGCTGTGAAACAGGCTAAGAAAACATGGCCTGAATCCTGAGACAATCATATGACATTTTGGGTGGAGGGGCCACGGGAAGACTACATAGCTCCATTTTGTTGCTTCTCAGGAACAAAATACTTAGTTGCTGTCAGATCTCCCCTGAGCTACTCGTTACCAGGCAAAAGCAAGGATGAAAATGATGTGCACTTATTCTAAAAAAATAGAAGAGATGGTGTTCTTGATTACAAAATAGTAGATCTAGTTTGAAAAAGACCCCAAGCTAATCCTAAAATAAACCCCACAATCTTGGATAATGTTTCTGTGGGTGATCATATGAATCTCCTATAAGCTATGCCCCCTCACTTTTTTCAAGTGTAGGTAACTCTTAGTGGGTTAATTTAAATTCTATTTCTTTGTCTATAATTAATATCATTTTCCTTATCTCTTATGCCTTCTGTTCCTCACATATGTATAACTGAAGCATCATTTGATCTGGGGAGTCTTCTAAGAGTTAATCTGCTTTTATTAAAGCTCCACCCCCTTGGGGTTTTCTTTCTTATAGTCCAAGGTGCAAATGGAATCTCTCCTGGTTTGCCTCATGTTTCTCATCACACCTTTTATTGCCATCTGTCTCTCTCTCCCTCTCTCCCTCTTATTTTAGGAACTTCATTTTAGTTTTTCGTCCAAGACTGATTGTCATAATTCTTCCTTTCTCCCTTCTCTTCAAGTAGCTGGATTACAGGAAGGAAGGAAGCAAGGAAATAAATCAAAGCAATCTCTAGACTTTATATTCCTGTGACTGTTTTTACTTATCACATTTTTTTCTAGATTCATATTGCTTAATACCACAATATTTACAAGACTCTAGAGGAAGGAATCAATACTGCATTCGTTAGGAGTATTCATTTTATAGTTATGTTTCCATATTGTGGAAATTCTTGATTTCTGTGTACTTCTCAAGGCTAACTCTAAAACTGTAGAACTTGGAAATGTCTTTCAAAAATTGGAAAAGACTTGGAAACCATTTTGTGATATGGGTTCACAGTCCAGATACATCTTGATTATATGTAAGAATGATAGGCCAAGTTATATAACACCCTGACAATTTTTTTGGTTTTCTACTCCCCATGTAATTTCTTCTGCAGCCCAGGTTTACTCAGCATACAGAGATGGGGATTACAACATGTGTCTGCCAGGGATTGTAGAGAACATTTAAGCATCTATGTAAAATAGTTGTTTTAGTCCAATGATTCTTTCCCATTCCCACTAGCTTTTCCCTTACTCTTTTAGGGTCTCTAAAATAACCTGCTTTCTAACAATAAAATCACTTTACTGCTTGGTAGGACATGAGTTTTCCACTGCCAACCAGGCATAACACTACTGTTACCATTGCAGTATTGTTTATTTTGGATTTATGGCTGTTTGTTCACTGAAAACTTCAAAAGGTCAGCTTTGTCTCAGTAAGAAACAGGGAAACATTTGAAATCTCAGTTTGGAAAGCTTTTTCTTGCCCATTTTTATTTTTATACAGACTTTCTTCCACTCTTAAGGTTTTGGAGTCAACTAATCTGAGATCAAAAGCTCAAATAACTCACTGACACAGCTACCTCTTCTGCTAAACCTACCAGATGTGAGCCTGAAACCGATGCATGAAGACCCAAATTAAGCTCTATACCCTAAATTAATATCAGAAAGCAAAAATTCCTGTAGACAAATCTGCATTATCCATTTGTCACCTTGACTTCCTCAGAGGTCAGGTGATTAATCACATTAAATCGAGGACTCCACCAAAACATAAGGAAAAGCCCCAAATCTTCATTATAATTCCTGAAAAAATTATACTTGAACAGCTAAAGCAAGAAATGTGAAGACAAAAGTGCATGTATGGCAAATCATTTGGTATGACAATATATGTGTAGCAAAATCATTATGTTTATATGTAGATTACAAAGGTATAAATAATAAATACAAATAATAAAAAATAAATACAAATAATAATAAATTCAAAGGTATAAATAAATAAATTATCTCTATTTTCTGTAGAATGTATATATGTAAAACCAAGAGTAAAATTCAAAGAAGCGCTTAAAAATTTCTCTTTAGGTTGGGAACTTATTTTACAGAAGTTCAGCAATGAAGTTTAAAAAAATTCAGACATCTTTATGTGGGAACCTGTGCTTCAGCTTAATCCAGGTATGATTATGATTGTAACATTTTGTCATCATCTTAATATCTGAATAAGGGAAAATCATATTGGCTACTTGAAGCATTTCCTCTAATCTTTTGCCCTTGGAAGTCCCTGACTCCTCTAATTTCTGCTGAGGCTAACTAAAGCTAATATATCAAAGATGCTTATAATAGTGACTCATAGAGTAAACTGCTGCTCATATTCATTACTTATTCTATCTCTAACAGCTATCTTCTGTTATAGTGAGTACTACACCTAGGCATATGGAGACTGCTGACGAAGAAAAACAAATATAGTCATCCATACAAAATGTGTATCTGGACTGCTGAGGCATGAATTCACTGCAGAGTTGATTTTCCCATAGTTTCAGAGAAGAAAATCAGTCCTTTCACTTGGGGGTGAGGAAGCGAGGGTCAGATGGAAATTAGCAGTAGAAAAGTGGAACCTGTCTATGTTCTGCATAAGTATTTCATATTTGTACTAAGAGAGCATAGAGAAGAGTGAATACCTTCCCTCACTGTTCTTTACCAGTAAAACCTGCATTCAACATTTTCAGCCCCTTGAGAGCAGTGAGGAATCCTGTTGGAAGGAAGACTTACCTTCAATGGAGGAGGATCATGTCAGGGAGCACTTAAACAAACTGAGTCCACAGGGCCTAAGGGGATGCACTCATGAGACCTGAGGAAGCTGACCACTCTCATTGCAAGATTATACTCAATTATCTTTGAAAGATCAGGAGAACTACAGACTGGTCAGCATCAGCTGAGCCTAGCTCAGCTGCTCAGAGCATGGTGCTGATAACACCAAAGTTGTGGGTTCAATCCCTGTCTGGACCATTCACTTCAGAGCTCGACTTGGTCCCTGTGGGTCCCTTCCTACTCAGAAGATTTTCTCTGTGATCTTCATCCCCGGGAAGGTTAGAGTGGAAATCCTCCTGGAAGGCATTTCCAAACATATAAAAGTCAAAAAGGAAATTGGAATTAGTCAACATGAATTTATTAAGCTATATGCTTAACCAATCTAACAGCTTTCTATTATATAGTGACCAGCTCTGTAGGCAAGGGCTGACACGTAGCTGACATTGTTTATCTTGATTTCATCGAGGCTTTCAGCATTGTCTCAAACAAACAAAATTATGAAGTACAGACTAGAAAAATGGACAAGAGATGGACTGAAACAGACAAGAAAAACAAAGCCAGATAGCAAAGTATGTAAGACAGCAAACCAGGCCTTGAAACAAAGAAACTATTCCTAAACTGACTGGCTCAAAGGCTGTGAATCAGCAGAACAAAATCCAGCGGGAGACCACTCACTATAGTCCAGGGGTTTGTGTGGAGAAATTCTGTCTGAATGGACACAAGACTGACCAATGTACCCTTGCATCAAAATTCAACTGCCTCTGGCTTCATTAAGGGAAATCTTTCCAGTAGGGAAATCTTATCATGAAGGAAATGATCATTCCTCTCCACTTAGCCCTGGTGAGACGTATCTGGAATGCTAGGCCCATTTTTGAGCTTCCCAGGGAAAGAAAGACATGGTATGAGTCCAGCAAACAGTCACAAAAATTTGGATACTGGAGCTTCTGTCACAAAACAAAACAGAGAGCCAGCTCTGTTCAGCCTGAAGTTGAAAAGACCCAGGGGGATTATGTCAATGTGTAAAAAAACCTGACCAGAGGAGGTAAGGAAGACAGAGCCAGATTATTAGTGGTGCCCAGTGCCAAGAAAAGAGGCAATAACCACTAATGGAAATAAAGCTACTTTCCTTTAAACATTAGAAAAAATATATTCTATAAATCAAATTAGAATATGTTTACTGAAAACGAGGTCATATACAGGTTTCCCGGAGAAGTTTTAAAGCCTGCATTCTTAGAGATTTTAAAACCTCAACTAAACATGGTCCTGATGAACATTTGAGAAGGGGATTAGCCTAGATAATCTTCAGAGCTTCCTTCCTATCACAGCTGTTTTGTGATACAACAACAATATCAATCTTAATAAACAGGACCCTGATTCTCATTAGCTCTTGTATGGGCACATATGTAAGGCTTTGATCTCAGCTAGAAAAGCAGTTAAAATCTAAATGTTATTCAATCTTAATTGTAAAATTGATATTTTCTAAGAAGAAGTTTAGAATGTAGTATAAATAGTTTGTAATTTCTGGGATTGGATTAGCAAAGTTGTGCAGGAATTCCATAGAAAAAGTGCAGCAGACAGTGGTCTGTGGTGTTTTTCCTGCTTCCTACATTGGTGTTAGACACTGCCTTAGAACTTTATCACATGTTAAGAAACCTTTATCTTCTGTCTTCTTTAAGCCAACAATACCAGCTTTCAGAACTGTTGAAGCTTGGACTATCTTCTTTTTCTACAGTGTCCTTCACCACTTTAGGAAAGCTTTAGGAAGCTTTACTTAACAAACTTCCACTCCATAGAAAGGCTTTTACCACTCATTTATGTGCCATGCATATTTCTCCTTTTTTTCCCCTTGCCTTCCCTGAATGATTATATTTCCTTTATATATAAAGCATAATATATAATCCAGTCTGTTTCCCCTTTCCTTCACACACATACAGTCTTCCTTCCTTTTTGTGTGTTTGAAAGCCAAAAGTAATGTATTCATCTGAACAGCTGGTTAACTTTCATGCTACATGCAAATCCATTTAAAAAGTAACAAACCTCGGGAAAATGCGACAAAAACCTACAATAGCTCAAATTGTAGTTCCGATACAAATCTCTCACTGTTCAGAAAATCGTGTTCATTGTCTTTTATTTTTAGAAAATTCATTACAAGAACTTAAAAAGGAGATGTATTCTTCTGCATTGTAGCATATTCAGGAATTCCATTTTTATCTTGTGACTATTCATTTGGGAACATGCAGTGAAGCAGCAGGACAAGGCTCATTTCAGAAATACGGCAAAGTAGGACAGTGTCCTACCAATGACAAAGAAAAAAATAAATAAATTTAAAGAGGCATACTTCCAGTTTTCTGTTGACTTGTGTTCTTGTTTTTATAATATTGTAAAATAGATCATTTTTAAATGAGCCCTGGCTAGCAGAATAAAACTGAACATAAATATACTGCATTTTAATGCACAAAGTTTGTTTTTCATGTGGAAATGCACACAGAGTATGGACTTTCTCCTTGCTGGAAAACAAACAATAGGAAATAAATATTACATATACAGCAGCTTGGAATGATGGATTTAAATTTTTTCTCATTATAGCATTGAAAATGTTGCAATTTCCCTGAGTTAATGCCAGTGTAATTTGAATATGGTTTACAATCATGACAGGTCAAAAAATTGAGGCTAATCTGCCAAAGAGTCATTGCTATTAAGTAAAGATTTTACTGGGCCCAATTAATAACTCTCAAAAATATTTGTATTTTCTTAAAAAATCCAGACACTAGGGAATGCTAAGCTTTCAATTTTTTTTTTTTTTTAAGAAAGACATGCTTGCCTCCTCCTTTTTTTTCAGAAAGTAGCATAAGAGTTCTGAAGGGGAAATCAAGATAATCTGGTCTAAGTGCAAATTACTTGGTGAGCTTTTTCTAATTATTAACCCTTGCAAGTGTGACACTGATCATCTGTTCTTCTAGCCAGGCAAAAAAAAATCAGCATCTATTTTGGTCACTGCCATAATAGCCAGTTAATAGTGGTGGCAAGAATGAAGAATTTAACCTCTTTGGACTTTTGAAATACGGTTAGTACTTGTTAAAGAAATGTGTGTTTTAATGTTTGATAAAGAAATACATTTAACAATGACATTAGGTTTCTGCAGGGAGAGATTCTTCAGATGTATGGGAATGAAGCAACCAGGTTCTTCCATGTAATTTAACTTGTTAAAGTGATCAGCTGTAGCTTGTTTGGGACTATAACCTTCCAAAAATCTGAAATCTTAACTGGTGATCCAGCCAAAATAAAGGGCAGAGAAGAACTGGGACACTAATAGAAACCTATTTATTAAAATTGAAATAATTATTTAAAAAGTAAGTTAATCATTATCATGTTTAATGAGTGCTGTCTTGTCCAGTACAAATAGTGAAATAAATATTCACTGTGCAGACTTCATCTCCGAGTTTTGCATCACAATGACAGAGCATTTGGGTTACAAAATTTAAGAACTGGACTATTTTTTTTTTTGTCAAAAGTCACGGAAGTTTCTGATTTATGTTATATTTCTGCAAAATGTTTTTACTCAGGTTCGTTTTTATTAATAGGTTAATTTTAATGATATTCAGTTTTACTAGATGGGTTAGACATATTTTCAAGAATTATACCTGCAGTGGTAACTTTTTATTGTTTTATGGTTTTACAATCACATTTCCTGTAACCTGTGTGTCCAAAATGCTTTTTATTACATGGTACCACTCATTTCTCTGTATGACTGGCAATCTGACTTTCACGGATGCCAAATACAGATACAGGCTCTAACTCCATCAGTCTTATTCTCAAGCAGATGGACTTAACACTGACCTCATCAGCAAAGATATCAACACATCACACCTGCAGGGTCATGCATCCCATGCATTTAGGAAGTTGTCCTGACTTAACGCTGCTGATCTCCCACTGAAGATTTTGAGTTAGGGGTCGAGACTCAAATTGAGACTTGTCGTAGATACACATCCTCTGTGGAGCAGACAGTTCCATAACATGAGCACAAATTCAGGCAACCACAAATAGCAGTGGACTTTTTTAAACAAAATTCAAGTCAGTGGCAGAAGCTTCAAGTTTCATGACTTGCAGTGCAGTTTAGGGATAGCCTAAATTATAGAAGGCCTGGTTTATGAAAATCCTGTTTAACCACCTTACTATCATATATCTTGGTAGTTGTGTTTGTTTTTCTTGTGATTCCTGAGATAGACACTCAGCTGGACTCATTCCATCCATGTTCAGCATTACATGAAACCAAATTAAGGACCTACATACCCCCAACTTCCTCCTTCTTTCACCTTTTTCAGGAGACAATGAAAAGACATGACATTTCTAGACAGTGGTTCAAGTCTGTTACTCGAGGTATTGTTTTATTACCTAAAATTAGGCTGGGGAGGATCAGACCTTGTTGATTAAGCAGCAAGAGAAGTGGTCCTTTAAAAATAAGCTGCTGGTGAGTGACAAACTACATGCTTATACATTATATAAAAAGAACTGTAATTAGTCAGAAGTAGAAACATGATACCATTCAGCAAAACATTTGGGGTTGGAAAATAATAATATTTTGGCAAGAATCCAGTTAAAGTCAATAATTAAGTCCCATGTAATTATTGCAGTGGTGTTGCCCAAGCTCATGCCTAAGGACTTTTAGTAGTAGTGCATGTTCAGTCACAGGGGAATTCATCTCACTTTGTTGGAAAATAAATACTCAAAGTTTGAGATATTCACCCTTCATGGAGAGATGTTTAGAGAGGACAAGGCATATCACCATTCATATATATATTTTCATGAGACCAACTGTCCTTTGAAAAATTCAAATTTCTCCCCAAGAAAGGAAAAATTTGCCCAAAAAAGCCCTCGGACAACTAGCTTAGTTGCAGACTACCAACTTCAGATGTCTTTTCAAAGTGAAATGCATTCAACAATAGCTGTTTGTACTCTAAGAGCTTACAACCTCAGGGGGAATTTAAAAGCATTTAGAAGTAAGATTTGGGCTCCTGACTCCCACAAGTTTATAGGTTCTATTCATCATTGTACTTTGTGAATACCTTCCAGTGGTCATGAAATGAATCACACTGATCATGTGCTGAATTATCTTTCCCCGACTCCAAATTTTTGTTTCTAAATATTATTGAAATGTCACCTTTTGCATTGGTTTAGTAAATCTCAGGAGTAATGACTTT